ACAAAATCCCCGAGGTCTCGATCAGACGACGGTTTTCCTGCACATAAGCAAGCCTGGTGGAGATTGAAATGGAAGTCACACTTGCGTTCAAGAAAGTGCTTGCCGCACGAACGGTCGTCCGCGCGAGGCGACTATTATTTTCGATCCACGGATATTATCCACCTTCGGCGCCTTTCATAGTCGGCCGGGAACTTGGGGAAACTCACCCCGCTACTTTTGCTGTACCTTTCGGTGTAACTAACGGCTACATAGCTTCGCTGCATGCTGAAATGCTATGACGCCCATGCAAAACGTGCTTCTTTTGCCCACACCCCCCGGCTCCGGCGCGATCGCAGCGCCGCCGCAGCTCCGTGACGTCAAGCCCGCGTGTCGGTCTATACCTCTGCATCTCAATTTCAATCGTCTCTTTACTGACGCAAAAAACTCACGCGTGGTTTACTTAAAAAATGGTATAAAACTACTTTCTTAAGTTTCGATTTTCATAAGAATTTTGATACGTTTATTGCAAACGTATTCCAGCTTTTGCGTACAAAAAGTACCATCGGATTTTTTTTTTTTACATATATTGTTTTTGAAAATAACTGTGCACATTTTTTCACGTTCCGATCTGGTCTACATACCGGAACGTGAAGTAATTTATTGACCCTAAAGCATACAGTAGCTTCAACGGGTACGAAATAAATATGCTGAGCTATTTGTTGTAATCAATCACGCGCTCAACAGTAACGCACGCATCTATCGCGGCTTGCGAGCACTCACTACAGAGCAGACTTGGACGTAGTTCAACTACTCTACTCAAACTACTGTAGTTTAACTACGTTTTCGAGTAACTTGGTAACTTTCAATTACAACTTGATTTGGGTAATTAGTAGTTTAATTTAACTACTTTTTCAGGTAACTTCTACTCAAATTACTAACTACTTTCGAAATTATATAGTGCTAATTTTGCCCATCACGGAAGTTTGAGCGCAGAAATGATTAAGACGCCGGCAGATAAAGTGGCATTCCCTAACAAGGGGCCCCCTTCTTCGGGAAGGCCTCCTCGTGTCAAGGTGGCGACGAGCAGCCAAAACATAACACCGGCACGCACGAACGCAGGAAGAGATGCTTAACAAGCCTTGGTCGGGTATTGACCTAATCTGGTAATGCACGCAGGCGCCGCGTTTCCAGCTGCAACCGTGAAAGACGGGGACACTCCGAGAGGTGTTGTCTGTCTTTAGTGAGTTCTGACTCAAGCGGTAGGTTCCACGGGAGGCGCCACTGGAATGACCTCGCAGCTGGGTGCCTGTTCCCATGGTCGCCATGTCGTCAGCGCATACGCCTTTGCAAAGCCGGACTCCCCCGCGCACAAACCCTGGCACGGATAATCCGTTCATGGGAGCACGTTCCCGCTTCCAGTTGCTTGTTCACGTAATCCTTCGCGTCCTTCCGACCATCCATGCCAGGGAGACCTTCTCTTCGTTAAAAACGATTTACTTGTCGGGCGTGTCACTCGCGTCAAAATATTGTAGTCGCCGGCGAGGATTGCGAGTTACCCTTGGGAGATCCTCCTTTTGTTGGACCCGGCGTCAGCGGTGAAGTATACTTCAGTTCATCTTCTATTAAACCAAAACATTTTTTTTTTCAGTAGCGTAACACTAGCACTACAACGGAACGCGCAGTCGTCCGGATGATCTCATCGTCGTGGCGCGAGACTTGAACCCTTGACGGTCTGGTGCACTCTCTCAGTGTACTCTCAGAACGACGTCGAAATAAAGAGGGGCCAGTCATAACAATCTCAACTTGACGAAGAAACAAGTCGGAGATTTTCTTATAAAAGACCCTCTAGCCGAGACAAACCTCACGTGTTTCGTCATGGACACCTAAGATGCCGACACTCGCTTACCCGACCCTGCACAGCCTGTTTCTCAAATTCAACGCTGCCGTTCCATTCAGTGCAACGGTGCAACGTCTATTTAGCTTGGCTGGGGACGTCTTTAGAAGGAAAAGGGGAAAATTCTCCTATCAAGAACTTTGAAAGTCAATTGCTTCTGCGAGCAAATAAACTATTTTGGCGAAAACGCAAGCTATAAATAGACTGCATTTATTTTACGCTCGCAGGGTTTTTCATTGATCAAAACTGCTGTTCATTTTGCTTCCACAAAAATATAAAAAAAGTAACTTCGAAAGTAACTTCAAAGTAACTCGCTACTTTTTAGAGTAATTAGTAGTTTACTCAATTACTATTACAAATGCGTAATTTCTACTCTACTCCAATTACTTTTGGCGTTGATACTCAGTAACTTAGCTTAACTACCTTTTCTGAGTAATTTGTACATGTCTGCTACAGAGCACATGGACAGGCAGCTTGCGGTGTACAATCCATGGATCTTAGGTTTGACCCATAACCTTGCCCGCTTCAGTTTGCTTGCCGTGCACGTTGATTACCCTAGGTTAGCACTCGTACTGCACTGGCTAGAGTGGTCGAATTATACAAATATAGCCACATTTTGATGGCTGTCGAATTCCTCGCTGTCTTAACAACCACTCAACTATTTGTCTTCTTTTGATTGATATAGCAGATAAAAAACATTAAAAAAAGCTTTTTTCCTTGGGCCTTTCGTAATTTCGTTTCTAATGAACTACTAACCATGCGCGCACTTTTTGTTAAAAACAATAAGCATAAAAAACCCCAAAAAAACGTGGTCAACAGTGCTAGCGGCTCATCCATGGTTCATTTCATAAGTTACGCAGTCATTTCACACATTAATCTGCTGTTGCATTCGTTACAACGAAGAGAGGGTGGCAGAATCACTGGGAAGAACATGCGCTATACACCATGTTGCACGCAATGGAAGGAATAGCTGCGGGAGGCAATCCCTGCTCGTAAAGACGCCCGCCCGCATAGTTCTCCGTGTGTGATCGGTTAGCGCAAAGAGCCACAAGCTCGAATTGTTATCTGCCCCTTGAGTTCTTCGCCAAACGGTGGCCCTGTCGTCGCTATCGCTTCAATTGCTGCGAAGCTACGAGTGACGTCTGAAATAGCGGCATGTCGTCCCGAGCTGTATGTATGTCATGAAAGCGCCGTTCACATATATGCGACCGAGTAAGATCGAGAGAGACCAGACCGGTTGCGACGTCTTAGGACCGGATGCGCTGCAGCGGAGCTGGTCCTAAGACATCGCAAGAGGCTTAAACATTGGTCTGGTCTCTCTCGGTCTTACTCGGTCGCAAGAGTGGGAACGGGCCTTTGAATATATAAAGCGGGAAACTGTCAGCACGAACACGACTTTGACATTTTTCACATTTTACTTTAAAAAGGGTATACTGGTGGTCATCAAAATTGACCACTTAGGTTAGCACCTCAACTGAGCACTTTCCACTACACAGTAGTTTTGATGACGGCCCTTCAATACGGAAACAAACAGACAAAACGAGCGATGACTTGTTCCCGCTAACAGTGCCGCGGTGTATGTATACTTCGTTTCGGTTCCGGTTTTCGGCAGAGCATGGTGGGGCAAAAATATTAAAAAAGCAAAAAAAAAAAAAAAAACTTTCAGCCTTTTTACTCTGGTGAAAAAGGAAGAGCAGCGGAGCTGTTTTACGTGCCGCCATCTATGAGCGACGCCGGCAACCAGACAACCGGCAAGCCGGTTGTCTGGTTGCCGCCGTCGTTGATAGATGGCGGTAGCTGTCCAGAGGGTTGAGTCCAGATTTATTTGTCCACGCACACGAAACTGGGAAACTAGCCTTTAGCAGCTCCGCCGTCAAAACTACAAAGACATCTAAGCACCTCTTATGAGTTGTGAATGCGAAAGTATAAATGTCGTTCCTCTGCTCTTTTAGTTCGTCTGCGGTGTACTGGCGTGGACGGCCACGTTTCGGTACTGCCGAGGTTGCGGCCGACGGCCGAGCGCGCGCTCTCGTGAAGTGGCCGCGCCGCGCTGAGCGCGGCCGTGCAACCCCTCCGGGATCTGCCCGTGCGGGCTGTGCCATCGGCTACGCTGGCTCCTGGGTTCGAGCCCCACCCCTGCCCGTTTCGATCTGGATGAGCATCGTACCGGCGTACGGTCGTGTATCACTACTGCGTGGTGCACGTTAAAGACCCCAGGCTAGCGGTTGTACTGCACTGGCTAAATTGCTCATCTACAGCGTGTGACTCGTCGCCACTTTAATGGCTGACCAACTACACGCTGTATAAATATCTCCATAACCCAATTTTTTGCTATGCTGGCTCTGCGCTCTGCAGCCAACCGCTCCCTCCTACCGGCAGCCGCGCCGCTGCGCAACCATGGTGAGGGCTGCTCTGGTGACGGTCCTTGGAACCACACTCTAAAAAAAAAGGGTATCACCTTACACTCTTTTGTCCCATATAATACACCCCAAAACTTCATTTCGACGTACAGCGCCCTATAGTCGAACAGACGGCACGAAATTTTACCAGGGGCTTGATAACGGTGCGATATAACTTATTCAATTGCTAAGGTACGTATCAAAGACCAAAGAAAGAAAACACAAAGCTTTTGCAGTACGGCCAAGAAAACTCCGATAATCTTTTTTGTAGTCAATAATACGTACATCAGCTATCTTAATAAGTTGTACCACACGGCTATTAAGCCCCTCGTAAACTTTGGGGACGCCTGTTCGATTATGGGGAGCTGTACGTCGAATTGAAGTTTTGGGGTGTATTATATGGGACATGGGGTGTAATAATACACCTTTTTTTTCTGAGAGTGCACGCTGCGCGGCAGCCAATGGGAACCTCGTTTCTTGAAACTATATATGACGCGCGCCAGCCAATGGGAGCCTATCCATCAGAGCGCTGCTACAGACGACAGGCTTGGCTCCATTGGGACAGGGGAGTTTATGTGCCGTTTGGCGCGGCTTCAATAAATGATAACGCCGGTTCGCTCCGTGGGACAGTTAATGCTTTCGCATTAAAAAGTACAAACTCACAAACTCGGGTGTGCTTATTTAAGTTGAAACATACTTCCTCCCTCAGCCCAAGTTCCGGCGTGACGTCAAAACCTCCGCAATGGCACTTCCAGCTCTGTGCCAGGCTCGGCACGCGGTTGTTCAGCACAGCGGTCGCCTCCGTCAGCACACTGCGGCGACTCGTCGACCAGCGACCTCCCGAGCGTCTCCTGCACGAGACACAACACGACCGGACTGCAGACGAGGAGCGCCGCGGCGTACACGGCGGGCAGGAGGGTCCCCAGGGCGTTCCTTGCGAAGGGGTCAAGCGCCGCCGATCCCCAGAAAACGCACTGGAAAACGCTGACGCCGAGGCCCCGGATCCCGGTCGGGTACGACTCCTGCAGGTGCAGGAAGCACACAAGGAAGTAAGAGCTCACGGCACCCCGGACGACCAGGCCGACGCCCAGCCGCGCTGCGTAGCCGCTGCACGCCAGAAGCAGCGCCTGGGCGCAGGCCAGGATCGCGGCCAGGGATGCCATGGTGGTCCGTCGCGGCAGGTACCGGGCGGCCGCACAGCCGGCCAGGTTGCAGGCCAGCTCGGTGGCGGACAGGAAGGCAAAGTCCATTTGAGGGCGGCCGCCCAGAGAGGTGCCCGTTAGCGACGATGTGTAGTACACCAGGCCCAGGACGACCGCCTGCGAGGAGAAGCGGCGAGCGTGTGGGCGACATCCGTGAACGTCGAATACAGCTCTACTTGAGTTTTCTAGCTCTTGAGCGCCACTGTACAAAAAATAAATTTTATTCCCTCAAAAAGGGCGAAAACACTGTTCCAGACACTTACATACACCCCTCGATCTAACACACCCTTTTCAATCGTAAGATAGGGTGCTGTTTCATTGAAAACACAACATTTTTAAAAACGTGTAAAAGGGGTGTCTAAACAATTGAGAGGCTGTTTAGGTGATGATCTCGAATAATGCTTGCCTCTACCAAATGATATTTACTTCGAAATACATTTCTTGAACTTAAATATATTGTGTATTACTGGACGTATTAACAAGAAGAAAGCAGCAGACGTGTAATCTTCATAATAGCGGAGGCGGTGCGGTTCACCTGTGAAGCTTCTGAATCGTAGCGTAAATGAGGTGGTGGAGCAGTTACCAGGGTCATGACTGTCTGTGGTATTACATCCGTATTTGCTGTTTTTGTAGGAAACACGGCGTGAAAAAAAAAAAAAAAATAAGAAAAATAAAACATCACTAGTGTGCTGTTAAGATTGCCAGCATTCAATTTTTTTGGACTTCACTAGCATCCTAAAGGTGTTGCTGTAACACCCGTATGGTGTTAGTCTTGGAACAAGCTGATTTACTTTAAAGGTGTAAAATGTTTTAGTGTGTAAACTGACCAAATCAATTGTTTGTGTTTATGTTTATACAGAGGGAAGTTAGACGGTCCCAATGGGTGCCTGGTGCCTCCGCTGCATATGAGAAATTTGGCCAGTGCAGCATCACTGATAGCCTGCAGGCCTCTTCAGCGTGCATCAGGTTAAAGACCCCAGGACACGCTTAGCACGTCATATCTTTGCCAAAGTGTCCCTCATGAGCATATTCCATCCGCTTGCACTTGTGGTGCACCGGCACGGACGCCATGCTCACAATGTCGTGTAGATACTAACGTTGGTGACAGGCAACAGTCCAGGGAAAACTCCTCCAACCACTTTCCAGTTTAGGAGAGCGAAAACACTGGAGAGAAGCGGCCTCCTCTCCAGCGTTAGCTCAGCTAAAACGAAAAGGGGTAAGAGGAGTTTCCCCTGAACTCTAAACCTGACACTGACTATAAATACAATTGAGTTTTTTCTCCTTCTATAAATGAGTACGCTGATCGCGGCCCTTTTTGAGACCCTTTCTTCGTTACTTCTGGGAAGCAAGCGATCGGTAACCACGGAGTCGATACGACGTACGCCTGGACCTTTGCATATACTAAGGGTCTGTTGGTCTACTTGTGAGCGCCAGTCGTCCCCGCACTATCTCTCTCACCTGAAACCACATGAAAAGCGTGTATAGCCCAAGCGACCTGGAAGTGCACAAGAGGTCCCGTAGATTCGGAAGGCACGCCACCGCTTCCGCCGCCGCGGAAGCCTCGTACTGTTCCAGCAACTTAGGGATGTGCGCGGCGATCTTCCCTCGGTGCACTCCGTTGAAGGTGGCGATGCCGCGCAACGCCTCCTGGGCGTCCTCCACGCGTCCTCTGCTGAGAAGCCATCGGGGGGACTCGTGCACGAGCAGGCTACACGAGAACACCAGAGCGCCGTGAATCAGCATGACTCCGTGGAGAGCCCTCCAAGAAGGCAGCGCGATGCTCAGCCCGGCTGCCGTCAGGGCACCCAGGCAGAAGCCGACGGCAATGGCCAGCGAGTCCAGGTAGCGGTGACGAGGTGCCACGCACTCGACAAGCAGTACGTCTAGAGCCGTCGCGGAGGCAGCGCCGAGCGACGTCACCAGGCGGGAAAGCGCGTAGATGCCCACTCCGGAAGCCGCGAGGGACAGGAGGCAACCGGAGACGTGGACCGTGGCCCCCAGAAGCAGTGACGCCCTGCGGCCTCCGCGGTCTGCGAATCTGCCGAAGGCCAGCGCTCCCACGGCCAGACCAGCCATGGCCAGCGACTGGGACAACGAAGAAAGCCAGCGCCGTTCGCATACGAGCTCGAAGTCCTCGACGGCGGTGCTGCGGTACTCAGTCTGGTCGAAGACAACGGTTCCGCAACGTCCTCGTCGTCGCAGTTCGCAGGCGTCGACGTCTTCGGTGGCGTTGTGTTCCGAGCAGTGAAAGGGAAGCTCGCTCGGAAGCAAGAAAGCGGAGCCGATCGTGTTTAGTGCCAAGAAGAAATTGCTGCTGGCCACAAGAAAGACTAGGAGCACCTGCCATGGTCCGAAGTTACCGAGCAATAGCGAGATGCAGTCGTCGGCCATCAAGCCAGCTCTACAGGTGTTTTCAGTGAGTCCACCAACGATCGCGGGAAATTAAAAGCGCGAATGAGAAGAGCAGACTCCGTCAGCGTGCAGACCTTGGACTTGTAAGTGAGCGCTTCCGGGGTTTCGCGGTTTTTGCGTCAAACGCGCACAGCAATCCGTTTCTGAGAAATTGTTTCTTCGAGCCGAGCGATTTGGAATGCGTCTCCAGTGTCGCCTCAACGTGACACAGGCCGTCGGTTGAGCTGATTTCCAACGATTTGGAATAATTTTAACGCTCCGTAACTATAGCGCCATGCTGATGTAAAAAAAAAATGCTTTAAAAAGAAGTGATGTGATATATTAGATGTTATTTCCTCATTTATGCGATATTTAATTCTGGCATAAGAAGATGAAAGGCAACACATTTTTTTTTTGTTTTATCACCGCAAGATGAACAAATAAACTTTGTATTATATTGTATTACTTTGTATTATATTTACCGGTGAAATGGTGGTAAAGGTTAAAAAAATAGCTGCATAGTGACAGTTTTACAATGCTCCGAACCTACACTTTAATAACCTAAATGCAACAAGGGCAAAGCGTAAAATCAAGCTGCTACGGACAACAAATGAAAACAAAGTCGAACAAAAAGGCAGCGCAAAAAATACCCAAGGTCGAACAAAATATATCACGCGCAGGATAAGATCAAATAAACTATTAAAGTTTATTGTCACATAAGCAGCGACCCAGATGTATAAACGTTAGAAAGAGTCATTTCAGTCTTTGGTGTTTATTTTCCATTGTTCGTTCTGATTTTGGCAGTGAAACATTTCTGATTATTTGCCGTGTATGCTTCCAATGAGACACATCACGACCTCCCCCCCCCCCCCCTTTTCCCCTTTTCTAAGCTATAATTCTGAAAAAGTGCTTGTCGCGGCGTTTGATAGCATTTTTAAATGGGAAAAAGGCCACACATATTGTATTATTGGCTCTTCTCTATGATACTTAGGTTGCGCCATACGTAGGGTCAGTTTGCGTTCCGAAAGGACGATATCAAAAAACCGAGTCAGTGCTTTTTATTTAATAACAGTAATCGATGCTCGTTTCTTCCAAATATACAAGGAATCTTGATGGAAGTAAACATTGATTGGATATGGTGAATGTAAGAAACATTTGCTATTATTCTTATAATCCTCGCATGTATTATAATTAAGTGCTTTCTCATACAGGTTAGGTTACAGTAACATAACTGTGAGAAAAGATTAAGCTACTAAAATACTTATGTTATGCTTGTTGGAAGCATATACTTAGTGGTGTTCATTCGTGACTCATAGGAAATTGCGCAGCATGAAACAGAGGTACTTCACACGATTATCTAGCGACAAGTGATCGGAAAAAGTAATTCCTAGCGTTTTGATATTGCTTACAAAAACATTACTCAGGGACCCAAAAGTTTTGCGGATATTGAGGTTGGTCACTCGAAACCTGCACTCTAAGAAAAAAGGGAGGAGAAAGGTAGCAAAAGCGACAGTTCCTCCTTGTTGCGGACAAGTTGCCCAGAGAAGGGAGGAACGGCAGTTCAGATGAAAGGAGGAGGGCGAGTTCCTCCTTGTTCTGTTGGCGCAGGGGTAGAACATCGCGCTACTGACCAAGTGGTCAACGGTTCGATCCCCAGAAAAGTGCGATTTTTTTTTTTTTTTTTTTGTAAAGTTTTTTTTTATTTTTGTTTACCAAAACACACATAAACAAACCCGGACCGATGAAAGGAAGATTAAAGTCCTTATTATTCTCCGAGACATTTTCCTCCTCCAGGCAGACCGGAGAAAGCTTTCGCCCTCCCGACCCATCTTCTTTCGGTTTCGTTTTTCGAGCACATCGCGCACGTTGTTTAATAAATTAATGTTGAGTTGATTGAGCTTCAGCGGCAGCGAAGGCCGCCTGTAATTCCGTCTTCTAGTCCAAACGTGCAGAACATTTCGGTTGCATTGACGTTTTTACCACTAATTTTATCAAACGAGCTAACGAAGCCGCTAGAAACAGCGAAGCTCCGGAGCAGTGCCAGCAGCGCTACATACACGGGGTAAGACGGCCGTCTCCAATTTGCGGGACACACGCGGAACTACAGCAGCGAAACCACGAGGAAATGTGTCGACGTTTTCGACGTTATGAAAATCGCGGGAACTGCGTCCAAGGAAGGCAGGTTTTCCTGCCGGCTGCCTGGGTGCCTTCCGTGCGGAGTTCGGTTCCGTTGTCCCGTGCCGAGTGCCAACCGGCGTTCAACGTGATTCTTCTGCGTGTCAGCAACATCGTCAGCGTGGTTCTGTATTTCTTCGTGTCAGCGACATCGTGATGGCAGTGTTGTGGGTTGTGAACAGAAGACTGGAATTATCGCCGATGTGACCGTGTGTTCGCGTATCAGTGGTGTAACAACAAGATGAGATGACGTAAACTGTCGGGCATTGATGGCGCTGGTCGGGCCGTTATCGGAGGGGCCGGGGTGTCGCAGGATGACATTCCGCTTTACATTAAAGAGTTTAAAACCACTTGAGGGATTAGGTGCAGTCGATCGACGTGTGGATAGTCATGTTGGAACGCTGGTCTGAACGGTAAGCTCCTATCGTACAGTGGCCAGTGTGACTGTCGGTCCCCAAGAGCGATTGCGCTCTGGGGAAAAGACAACACTACGAAAGTATGACGAAAAGTACGTATATTCATAATGGAAGTTTAGCATAAAAAAAAAAAAAAAGACAGGCAAAATTGGAAAAAAGCAAAAAACGCTATCCTTTATTTTACTGTTTAAATATGTTACGGTTCCTGTAGAAACTGCCCTCTAAGTGGCGCGCTGGGATGAGCGCTAGAAGTTTTCGAGCTCGCAACGGCGCAGCTCCGTACACTTAACAGTTGTCGCAAGTCGCGGCTTTGACTGCATTCAAGTTGATCGAAAAGCGATTTCTGTGCCCGTGAAGCATCACTTCCAGCTGAGTGGATATCCGCTCTACAGAGATTAATTCAAGACGGCAATTGCAGCTTTGCGCGAACAGCACAAATAGAAAAACGAACACTACAATATAAATACTGGCTACGAAGGGCCATGCGGGAAAACGAACTCATGGCTTGGAACCACATTGGAGTGGCTCGATTTATTGGCTTTCAAATAATCATGGCATGATCGAGCGTCTTCTTTTTAATAAGAGATTCATCCCCTGAGCCATTAAAAATAGCCTCAGATGTATGACATTGCTGGAAAAAAAATGAACATGTTCGGAATATTTTTTTTTGCTTAGGGAGTCACCGAAAAATTCCGTACGTTGAAAACGACCACTATAAAAGACGGAAACGCAGGGCTCGGAAGTAGCGATCGGGGTAGTGTGCTGTTGTATTGATGTTTGTATGTGCGATGCCTGTGTATGCGTTCAATATATGTTGACCTGATGTTTGTAGTGTGCGCAACGTGTCTACATGTGTTAGAGATTCCGAAGAAAAGGAAACGCAATTGTGGCGTAAAGAAATAAAAATATTTTTTTGTAAAACATGAATTGGGCGGTACCTAGCGCCACCTAGCCTAGCTACGTGCGATTACTCTGCTTGACCCTGCCATCTGGTGGCAAGCGATTTAACATCCTTTTACGCTACGCGGCTACGCCATAATTTCGTGTTACCGTGCTGAGATAAGCCAAGAGGTTGCTTCGGATTTGCTTTTTTTTGAGCGGCTTTTGGTTTTGCGGGCGAATGATTTTCACTCCTCCGTGATGTGCGGTTGACGCAACGGTTGACGAAGGAATTGTGGCTCGAGGAATAGCAAAGGTAGGACATAAAGTGCGCGAACCGAGTGCCGGTTGGTTGTCTCCGTTGAACATCGCAGTGCTGACGATGAGAAGACTGAGTGACTGCATGCTTTCGAAACGTAAGTTTCTTTACCTGCAGGGGTAAAGAAACTTCGGAAATAAATACAGTTCGCGGAAAGCTCGTGTTACGTTTTTATTTCCTGCTCCTCTCGCTTCGTGCAATAGACTTAGTGTTCTCGTTAAGCCTTACCGAGCTCGATTTGCTCGATTCGTGGCCGCCATAATGAGATGCAGTCGACGGAGGAACTTTTCCTCCCCTGCTTAAGGGACGAAAGTTTCTCCCTTTCTGAAGGAACATATGTGTCAAGAGCGTTCCTCCCTTTAGGGAGGACTATACTGACCCTTTTTTCTAAGAGTGTGAGGACAGAAGACTGCCGCTATTGTTTTGACAACACTCATATTGAAACAGTTTCACTTAGCTCAACTTTTTCATGTAAGAATCAATTAATTAGATGTATTAATGAGGGTATTTAATTATGTTTACCTGAAATAAAGACACCCATGTCATCAGCATAAAATCTGAGATGGACCTTTTGTAAAGCGTGCGTATACCGTGTGTGGTGCGAAAGAGAGACCGAGAACTGGCTGTGCGTAGAAAATCCAACACTGCGGCTCTGTTACCGAGGTTCCGTTTGCGTATCAGAGTGTGATCTCTCTCTCTCTCTCTGTCTCTCTCGCTCGTTCTTAAGTGTCAAGTGGTAGATGCTGCGAAGCAACAAGAGTCTTCAGGCGGTCCCCATAACCTGCTGGGCACTTTCCGCGCGGACTTTCGCTAATTTTGGAAAAAGTCAATTTGATATTGATTGTATAACTGTCATTTGAAATAACAGTAGAGATAGTATAAAATGCTGCCGTGCGGTGCACCTAGATCAGTACTAATAAACGTAAGGGGCAGAACAAATACCATAAGCAAATCATTCGTATATCCAGATTATATCGTTAATCACATATGGGCGTAACGCACAAGCGAGCTCCTTGTGATACATGACATAAAGTATATAGGGGCGCATTACCGGTTGATCGAGAAAACGTAGATCAAAAGCAGCGGGCGTGCACCTTCGTCGGGCTTGTACTCTTATTTAAAATAATTGTGTGAAATAATCAGTGAATTCAAACTAGCTTTGACTTGATGTCAATATTGTCTATAAAGCTAAGTTATTAGGCTAGCAATAA